ACACACACACACAGCCCCTCACACACACACAGACCCTCACACACACACAGACCCTCACACACACACAGCCCCTCACACACACACAGCCCCTCACACACACACAGCCCCTCACACACACACAGACCCTCACACACACACAGACCCTCACACACACACACACAGCCCCTCACACACACACAGAGACACAGCCCCTCACACACACACAGACACAGCCCCTCACACACACACAGACACAGCCCCTCACACACACACAGACCCTCACACACACACAGACACAGACCCTCACACACACACAGACACAGCCCCTCACACACACACAGACACAGCCCCTCACACACACACAGACACAGACCCTCACACACACACAGACACAGACCCTCACACACACACAGACACAGACCCTCACACACACACAGACCCTCACACACACACACAGACACAGACCCTCACACACACACAGACACTCACACACACAGACACTCACACACAGAGACACAGCCCCTCACACACACACAGACGCTCACACACACACAGACCCTCACACACATAGACACAGACCCTCACACACACACAGACACAGACCCTCACACACAGAGACACAGCCCCTCACACACACACAGACCCTCACACACACACACAGACGCATACCCCTCACACACACACAGACCCTCACACACACACAGACACAGACCCTCACACACACACAGACACAGCCCCTCACACACACACAGACACAGACCCTCACACACACACAGACACAGACCCTCACACACACACAGACGCAGACCCTCACACACACACAGACGCAGACCCTCACACACACACAGACGCAGACCCTCACACACACAGACGCAGACCCTCACACACACACAGACACAGACCCTCACACACACACAGACGCAGACCCTCACACACACACAGACGCAGACCCTCACACACACACAGACGCAGACCCTCACACACACAGACTGCAGACCCTCACACACACACACACAGACCCTCACACACACACAGACCCTCACACACACACAGACCCTCACACACACACACAGACACAGCCCCTCACACACACACAGACACAGCCCCTCACACACACACAGACACAGCCCCTCACACACACACAGACACAGCCCCTCACACACACACAGACACAGCCCCTCACACACACACAGACCCTCACACACACACACAGACGCATACCCCTCACACACACACAGACGCAGACCCTCACACACACACAGACACAGACCCTCACACACAGAGACGCAGCCCCTCACACACACAGACACAGACCCTCACACACACAGAGACACAGACCCTCACACACACAGAGACACAGACCCTCACACACACAGAGACACAGACCCTCACACACACACAGTCTCAAATAAGGGCACAACTCCTCACACACACACACACACACACACACATACAGACACAGCGACCCTCACACACACACACACACACATACAGACACAGCCCCTCACACACACACACACACACACACACACAGACACAGCCCCTCACACACACACACACACACACACACAGACACAGCCCCTCACACACACACACATGGCCCAGATCAGTCCCAGCTCTGGAGTGCATGGCCACCAACAGCAACCTGCAGCCCTGCACACAGTCACACTCACACACACTCACTCTCACACACTCACACTCACTCTCACACACACTCACACACACTCACTCTCACACACACACACTCACACACACTCACTCTCACACAGTCACACACACTCACACACTCACTCTCACACACACTCACTCTCACACACTCACACTCACTCTCACACACACTCACACACACTCACTCTCACACACACACACTCACACACACTCACTCTCACACAGTCACACACACTCACACAGTCACACTCACTCTCACACACACACACACACACCCAGGTCACACTCACACACACAGAAGTCACACTCACTCTCACACACAGTCACACTCTCAAGTAACACACGCACACCCCAGGGTCACACTCTCTCTCTCTCACACACACACACACCCCCCCCCCCCCCCAGCACAGAGTGAGGCACGGGCTGTGGGTGAAGGTGGGGCAGTGTGAAGCGCAGCCCCGGAGCTGTTACTCACAGTATCCATGTGCCGCAGCCTCTATCTGCATGTCCCCGGCAGCAAGAAGTCAGTGAGCAGATGAGAGGGCAGAGAGCCAGAGAGTGAGGCCAACCCTACACTGCACTCACACACTGCCCCTGGCTCTCCATCACTGAGTCAGACCCCCCCACTCTCCCCCTCCTCCCCCCCACCCCCCTCCCTCTCTCCTACACAATACACCACAGCTCAAACCTCCCCCTCCCCCCCATCAGCCCACTGATTGATGGCATTTCTAGGCTCCCCCCACCCCCCCCTCCCTCCCTCCCTCCTCCCCCCCTCCTTTGCCCCCCCCACCCCCCACCCCCCCTTTTAATTTGAATTCCTTTTATTTCGTTTCAATTTGACTTTGCGGGTCAGGCTTCGCCGCCGGCAAGCGAGCGCTCCGGGGCGCGGAGGGAGCGCTGCGTGAATGCACGTTGGGTCCGACTCGCGTGACTGTGGCTTTTTTTTGTTTGTTTTGTTTTGTCCTTTCCCGTAATGGCGCGCCGCGCGCACGCCGCGTATCGTGCGCACGATACCAACCGTAAGCGCCTGAGCACGACGTCTCGACGACGCGATAAAGGGCTGGATCAAATGCAAGGGTTATTATTATTATTATTATTGTTATATTATACCTCGACCCTGGCTTAGCTTGTCACTACCACTTAAATCATCACCGTCAATATCCCGGCCACGTCTATATATATATATGCCTAACTCATCACTCTGGATAACTGGTCACTGAGCCCTTCCCCTTGGAGTGACGAGTTATCAGGCGTTCATTGTATTATATAAAATGTCACATATTACTAAATTTAAAATATCATTTTGGACCCTCGCTTCGCTCCCCGACCAGACCGCGTTTCAGTTCCGAGCGGGTTCCTGGTGTCCGAGGCCCGTTGGGGCACAGTAATAATACAACAATCCTTGCAATTGATATAGCGTTGAAGCCCAGTTGGTACTCTGGCCGCTGCCCTTGGGCAGTTGGCACCTCTGTTCCCCCCCGTCACCCCCGCCCCGGCTCATGGGACCCAGACCCTCTCTGGTTATGTGGGGGAGGGGAGAGTTGGGGTGGGGGGAAAAACACAAACCCATCACCCGGCTGTACACTGTTGGGCTTTACCAACGAGGCCGAATGAGCGTTTTCCCCCTCCCGCCCACCACCGAGGGTCAGCTCCAGGTCACCCTCTGAGACACCACAGAAAGGTTCATCAGTCACCCTCGATGCCCACCCCTGACCCCCGGACCCTAGACCCCCTCCCCGCGCACACGCACCCACCAAAATGCCACAGTGACATTGAAGCGGTCACAGTCACTGTATTTTAAGCAAAGCACAATAATCACTTTTGGCTGCGCTGGCTCCACACTGTTTGCAACAGTTACTACACTGAGCAGCGATGTCTCAATGCGATCATGTGGTTGGTATGCGTGTGCGCGCAGGGGGTGGTGGTGGTGCAGGGGTGGGGGGGGGGGGGGTAATGCAAAACGGATTGAAATTTTTTGAAATTTCTCACACCCGTGCACTCACACACACACACACACACACACGGACACACTCACAGACACATACACACACACAGACACGCACACACACACACACACATTTGGGTGTGTGTGTGTGTGTGTGTGATTATCTATCCCTCTCTCCTTTCTATCTGTGTTTTTCTGTGTGTGTTTGTGTGTCTCTATTTCCCTTTGTATCTATGTGCCTTTCTTTCTATCGGTCTGTCTCTGTTTGTGTCTATTTCTGTGTGCGTGTGTGTCTGCCTCTATTTCTCTTTGTGTCTCTATGTTTTTCTGCCTGCCTCTTCTCTGTGCGTGTGTGTGTGTGTGTGTGTGTGTGTCTCTGTCTCCGTCCCCCTCATGCTCCTGGAGTGACAGTCACAGGAGAGGTTACTGTTGCTACATGAGGTCAGTGTGATCTATACAGTGTGTGTGTGTATATATTATATATATATATGTGTATAAGAGAGAGAGAGAGAGAGAGAGAGACGCTCACTGTGCCAAGAACAGCATTCTGTGAGCAGGATCCGACCTCTTCCTGATGGATTTCATTAGCCGGCTTCCTGTATGGCTGTAAGCTTGTCCCAGTGTGGCCTCCCACTAATCACAGACGAGATGCAGTCTCGGCAGCTCCACACAGTCTCTGTGCGGCCGGGCCACACTTCCTGCTTCCCTGTCAGCTTTATTGCCTGCAGGTGATTGTTGCCCACTCTCCTGTCCTGCCCTCCCGGCCTTCCTCCTCATTGTCTCTGGCTTTCCACAAGTCACCTTCCCTTGTTGACGAGGTGCTTTCAGAGACGGCTCGTACCAACTCTTCCCGCCTCCACAAACTGCAGACCCTCCAGAACTCTGTCCCTCGTGTCCTCTCCCCGCGCTAGGTTCGTGAGTGAGCCAATCGCCCCTATCCTCGCAGGCCGAGGGGTTTGAGTTTAGGATCCTCCTCCTCCTCACTTTCAAAGTCCTCCACGGTCTTGCTATTCCGACCTATCTCTGCGACCATATGACATGTTACCAGCCTTACCGGGGGTGATGGGGAGCGGGGATTACGGGTGGGGGTGGGGGGGTGGGGGAACGGATGGGATGGGGGAATGGGAGATGGTCGTGGATTCAAGGACCACTTTGGGTCTTTGAGTTGACCATCTCGCCAGGGTGGAGCTGGTGGGTGGGTGGGGGGGGGGAAGGGGAGAGCGCGAGTAAATGCCCATTGGGTGTGACATGTCAAACCAAGGAGTTGCCTGGCTGGTTGCTCCTTGGTGCGTGTGTGAAAAGCTTCCACATTGAAAGAGAGAAGTGGTTTCTGTGTGAGTTGCTGGCACAAACCGGGGTGGCCTGTGTCGGCCCAAGAGAGCAGTGCTGGAAAGCGACAGTAATTACCACGAGTGCCTTGAGATGTTCAGCGAGATAAGGACAGTGTGTGGGTGTCAGCTGAGCGCGGGGCGTAGGTCTGACGCCTGCACTCACTCCTCCTTCCTCTTTCACTCAGCTGATACCTATTAATAACCGGTTCTGGCACACAAGGCTCCGGGTCGGAGACTAACCCGAGCCGTCCTGGAGCCAGAGAGGCTGCGGAGGGAAGAGTGACGACTTGGCATTGAGTAAAAAAAAACAAAAAAAATATTATTGAGACATTTCTTTTGAGGAAGTGACACTGCAGGTTTCACAATCATTTTATACAGTGACTGATACCCCCAGGTGTATGGGGGAGGACTGCAGGTTTCCCGGGGGTTACCCTCAGTGTTGTACCGACAGTTTAGCGCCAGCCTGTTACACCAGCTTCACCCGAGTTCGGAGCAATAGCGCCCACCTAGACTGTGTGTGTGTGTGTGTGTGTGAGTTTCCATGTGTTTCTTCGTGGAAAAAGCGCGTTGTTGATGAAGGGTTTTAATGAGTTTCATATCTACAAAATCTTCTTTACTGTACGAACAGCTCAGTGTTGGGAGAGAATGGCTGACTTTCGTTCCCGCCAGCCCCTGCTCCCACCATTTCTTTGCGGGGGGTGGGGGTTGGAGGTGGAGGTGGGCAGTCAGTGGGATTTCTCACCCTCTGGGTTCTGAATTGCAGATGAACTCGCCCATGAACTCGGTGAGCAGCACAGAGGACGTGAAGCCTCCGCTGGGGATTAACGGGGTGCTGAAGGTACCCCAGCACTCGGTGGGCTCCCCCATCTCCCTCACCAAACACATCTGCGCCATTTGTGGGGACAGGTCTTCAGGTGGGTCTTCAGACAGCTCTACATCGCGCTCCTCAATCCCAGCAGATCCCAACAGGATCTTTAGCGTCCACCTGAACAGAGGCCGACAGGAGCCCGGGTTAACTAATGTCTCATCAATAGGACAGTGCCTGCAATAATGCAGCGCTCTGCCCAGCACTGCACTGGAGCGTCAGCCGAGCTGTGAGACTTGAACGCAGAACTTTCTGACCCCAATTCAGGTGGATGTTAAAGATCCCGCGGTGCTATTCGAAAAAGGAAGGGAGTTTCTCTCTCCTGGTCTCCTGGCCAACAATTTCCCCCAAATAAAACTGGGGAATACACTTCACAATACACTCACCGCACTTTACAGTATGTTCTGTGAAGGGCTTCGAGACGTCTCGAAGACGTGATAAGGCGCTGTATCAGATGCAAGGATTATTATTGTATATATTATCAAATGCAAGGATTATCATAGTTTAATTTTTATTAATATCTGCTTTCCCCTTCCCCTCCCCTCCCCCGCAGGCAAACATTACGGCGTTTACAGCTGTGAAGGTTGTAAAGGGTTCTTCAAACGCACCGTTCGCAAAGACCTTACCTACACTTGCCGCGACAATAAGGACTGTATGATCGACAAGCGGCAGCGCAATCGCTGTCAGTACTGCCGGTACCAAAAGTGCCTGGCCATGGGGATGAAGCGGGAAGGTATGGGCGCAGACTTCAGAGGTGTGTCTAGTTAGGGCAAGGGACGTGTGCAGTGTCGCTGTGCTGTGGCGGTTAGGAACACGCAGCGGGGAACACAGACTGCAGCTGCCATATTCCCCCCTCCCCCCATTCTGAGCCCCATCAGCCCGACTGGCATTTACTTATCCCTAAAATCCTCTCCCGGCTTATCAGAGCGGGAGAAAATGCCAGCGATTCAACGGGGTGCGGGCAAAGTTGCCACAAACCTTTCCACAAAATCTACTGTGATATTGTTTGGTTGGCCAGCACCTGATCGCTCCCCACCACCCGAATCTTCCTCGAGTGTGTCTGGGACCCTGTCTGGCAATGGTTAGGTGTTGTTGGGTGGGTGGGGGGGGGTGGGCATGCCATCGATCCCCGCCCCGCTGAGCCGCAGTCTGTAACCTCGCTACTGTTCCGATAGCTCCCGCACGGAGAGGCTTTCCACGCAGTACTGATGTTGATGTCGGAGTGTGTCGGAGTCAGTCGTGATCACTCTCGGCCGCTTGTTATACGGAGATTTGCTAGTGACTCACTCACCAGGGGTGGGAGGGAGGGAGGGGCATGATCCTGTCATAGGGTTCAGGCGCAATGCGGAGAGTGTCGGGGGGGAACATGGGTGTGAACCTCGGCCCAGAGCTTTCATTTGAGATTCATGTTGATGGAATAGTTCAATAACAGGAACCACAATTTGTTCTGATGCATCGACTCCACTGAGGAGAACATCTCAAAGCACTTCATAGAGACCCTGAGTGGGAATCAGGAGCTGAGACAGAGATAGGAGGGCTACGAGGAAGGTGACTGAACACAGAGCATCAAGGAAAGGTCTTCAGAAGGTCTTCAGATAGCGAAGAAGCAGGGGACCGAGGAGGAGGAATTTTGGAAGCAAGTTCTAGAGAGAATGAGCCAAGAGTTATGGAGTCCTGTAGCTCAGTTGTTAGAGCACTCGCCTCGCAAGCGAGAGGACCTGGGTTCGATTCCCAGGTGGGCGAAAGTTGGGCAAGTTTCCTTACTCCACACCCCTCTATTTACCCAGCAGTAAGTAAGAACACGGTTGTTGGTCAATTGTCGGATCGCTATTCCGGGGGTAATAATCTCTTCAAAATAATTTGGTCACTCAATCCTCAACTGTTTATGGGACGCTGCTGTGCATAACTGGCTGCCGTGCTTCACCCACAAATTATACAGTCAATTCACTTTACAAGATATTCTGTGAAGAGCTTTGAGACGTGTCTGAACGACGTGATGAGGGGCTGTATCAAAGGCAAGGATGATTATTATTTTTTTATTAGGGGGGACACAAATTCTCATACACTTTTCTTAACTTTTTTTTAAACATAAAAATTGAAAAGCGGATGATACGTCAAAGGTAAAGGGACCTGTATTGAAAAAAAAAGACTAATTTATCTACGTTACGTAATTGTGGAACTAGCGCAGAGAAACCGAGGGATAAAACAGGCTGGTTTGGACAGATTAGCAAGTTGGGCAAGGTGATGGCAGATAAGGTTTGAGTGTGAGGTGATCCAGTTTTGGAGGAGGAGTGCGGGGAGGAGAATTGCATTAAATTAGAAAACATTAAACAGGGTCAGAGAGTCAAAAGTGTGATGTGGGGAAAATTCAGGGTAAACCCTTCCGACTGAATGGATTGCTTTTTAGCACCCACCCACACACACCATGGTCCGAATGGCCTCCTCTCTAGGCTGTAAATTGTTATGGCTCTACGTGAGGACAAGTTGATAAGTGGGGGGAAAAAAACTGGGATGTGAGGTTTTATTTTTTTTTACAAAGAAACCCACGGAATATAAAAATAACGAGGTAAGGCTAAAGCTATGCAAGTTAGGCCGCAGGTGGAATACTATGTCCAGTTGTGGGCACCTCACTTTAGGAATGACGTCAGTGACAGAGAGAGAGAGAGGCTACAGAGGGTATTTACTGGGATGATGCCAGGGACGAGAGGCTGTAATTGTGAGCAGAAACTGGGGCTGTTTATGCCGGAACAGAGCAGGCTGAGAGGAGACCTCGGCGAGGTGTCTATAAGAAAAATAGTCAGGTTGCACCTGGAGCCCTTTGGACAAAACTGTGGTCACCTCCGCCCCCCCCCCCCCACCCCACCCCGGCTTGGTGTTGTGCTCCTCCACTGTCAAGCCCTGTGGGAACCCACTCTGCGTGAGGAGCGCTGTATAAATGCAAGTTGTTGTGTCTGACCAGAGACTGAGGGAATTAGAGGAATATTTTTAAGACAATTAAAAGGATACGTGTGTGGGGGTGGGCGGGTGGGTGGGTGGGAGGGGGACTAAACAGAGAGCTGTGACACACGGAGCCAGCACCCTGGGCCGAATGGCCTCCTGACTATACCGTTGGGATGTTATCCTGCCGGAAGCAGCTTTCCCAGGCAGGGGCTGGGAGAATCTGGTTGGCAGAGTCCAGAGCCACAGTTGGTGAGAGCGAGAGAGCGAGCCATGAGCAGGCGCAACCCAATCTGAGCCCCTGCTTATTCCCCTGTGGGCGGCGTTGGCCAGAGTACACCGAGCTGTGGTCAGTATCTCCAACCCCATCAGCCCTCCACGGATTGAGCTCTGAGGCACCGGGTTGGGTGGGGGGAAGGGGTGGGTGGGGAGCGTGAAGGGGGAAGAGAGAGCTAGATGACAGAGCATGAGGGGTGGGGGGGGAGAGAGAGTGAGAGAGAGAGAGAGAGAGAGAGACTAAGTGTGAGCGGGGAGAGAGCGTGAGGAGAGGGGACAAAAAGCGTGTGAGAGATGGTGGGAGGGTGAGAGTGAGTGAGGGGTTGAGGAGAAAGAGCACGAGAGAGTATATGCGGTGGGGGGTGGAGGGGGAGAGAGAGCGAGCGAGAGAGAGAGAGAGAGAGTGAGAGAACGAGCATGAGGGGCCTAACGGGGGGAGAGAGGGAGTGCTGTGATTCTGGGCTGGAGCCCAGGCAGTCAGCACACAGACTGGGTTTCCTGTGCGAGGCCGCAGCATGCCTGCCAGCACGTCCCAGCAATCAGTGCCGGAAGCCCTCGGGAGGCACAGTGCAGGCAGCGCACACACAGCACCGAGCCGAGGCTGGCTGTAAACACAGGCTGCACATGTGGGCTGAGCCTCATATCGCACTGCATTACACCGGGGTGCAAGTCGCGTCCATGTTTCTCTCCATAAACTGCAGACTGTGTCAAGAGGAACGAGGCGCTGGATGATGGACAGTGCGTAGAGGGAGCTTTACTCTGTCTCAGTGTGTTAATGGCTCCGTACTGGAGACCGAGAGCCAGAGCCAGGGTGGTGTCTGCTGATTGGGATGGTGTGTCTGACCCAGGGAGAAGCACTGAGATAGAGACAAGCCAGAGAAGCAGGGAGAGGGTCCTGGGGGCAGGCACATTCTGTGTGTGAGTTTGCATGGGTGTGGGGGGGGTGGGGGGGGGGTAATTGAGATGCTGCCGTGTGCATTTGGCTGCCCCGTTTCGCCCACAAAGTGTACAGTCAGTTCACTTTCCGGTATATTCTGTGAAGCTCTTTGAGACGTCTGGAAGACGTGAGAAGGCGCTGCATCAAATGCAGGGATTATTGTTGTCATTATTATCATCAGAGGAGACACAGTGAGGAGCTTGGGACAGGTTAAAGAGGAAACCAGCACATTGCGGAGGCAGCTCAAATGATTCGAAGTGTGAACAGGGGGCAGAGGCTCGGAGCCCAATACATACACCTACAGGGGATGTGGTCAATGACACAAACCACACAATCTTAGTGCCGTTCGGGCAGCGGGATCTCAGGACGGGGTGCTGACATTGGTTAGTCAGGGTGAGAAGGTTACTGGGTGTCAGGAGCTGGTTAGTTGAGGGAGCAGGTGGTGAGTGACAAGAATAGCCTCAAATGTGACCTTATCTGTGAGTGTGTGTGTATCTGTGTCTCTGGTTCTCTGTCTCTCTCTTAACACACACACTGTCTTTCAGCACTCGCTGCCTCTTGCTTTCTCTGCCTTGTCTCTCTGGCCGTGTGTGTATATATGTCTTTCTCTCTCAACGGGGTGAGTCCGTCTCAGAGTCACACAGGGGTCTTGCGGGGGAGAGGTGGGGGGGTCTGTGTCTGACTCCCCTTGACACAAGTGACTATCACACACCAGGCTCTGGGCCTGAAATTCCTCCCGTTCGCAGGCTGATGGCCTGCTCTGCTCTGACAGTCCTCACTGGTTTCAATTGAAAACAATGGTCTTAAACCAAAGAACCTGGGAATTTGGGTGTGTTTGGGGGTACGTATGTGTTACTGAAGCACAAACCCTCCATTGTCGCTGAACATGCATGTCTGCCATAAACACCACAGGGGAGATGGTGAGCATCACTGTAATGTGCAATGATTTGTGCTCTTTCTCTCCCCTCTCTCGTTCCCTCTCTCACTCTCACTCACTATCTCTCGCTCTTTCTCTCTTACCCCTCCCGCACCCATCCTTCCCCTCTCGCTCACGATCTCTCTTTCTCTCTCACTTTATTTCTGTTCTTCCCTCTCTCTCACTTGGTCTCTTTCCTTATCTCTTTTCATTTGTGCTCTTCCCCCCCCCTTCTCTCTCTCTCTCACTTGCTCTTCTATTTCTCTCTCTCACTCTCTCCTCCCCCTCTCACGCTCTCACTCCCTGTCTGTGTCCTCCCCTCTGTCTCTCTCTCGTCCCGCTCATGCTCTCTCTCCTCTCCGTCTCTCTCTTCCCTCTGTCTCTCTCTCTCTTTCGCCCTCTTCCCCCTCTCTCCCCCTTTCTCTCTCTCTCTCTGGGTCTGTAACCTCTCGTTCTGTCCCTGTTGTGCCCCAGCGGTTCAGGAGGAGCGGTTACGGGGGAAGGAACGGAGCGACAGCGAGGTGGAGTCCACGAGCACAGCCAATGAGGACATGCCTGTGGAGAAGATCCTGGAGGCTGAGCTGGCTGTGGAGCCCAAGACAGAGATGTACATCGACTCCAACCTGGGACTGAGCAGCAACTCAGTGAGTGGCCACACTGCCCTGAGCTCTCTCTCCCCCACTGCTGCGTCTGTGTCTGTACCCTTCTCCGTGTGTCTATGTCCCTCACCTGTACTGAACCCCTCATCCCAATCCTTGCCAACCTCCCTGTCCCCAAAAGGCTTGGGTTAGCCACTAAACGCACTCACTAAACTTCACGGTAAATCCCGTGAAGTGCTTTGAGATGTGCTATAGCTGAGAATTATTATTATTATTCCAAGCTCCTCACCCACACAGTCCAGCTCCTCCCCAACCTCTGACCTGCTCGGACCCCACTCCCCTTTCTCTCAGCTAATACAGGCCGGCAGTGTGCCCCCTGCCGCCTCTGCTCCACGCCACCCACCATAGTCAGTCACTACGCCCCGAACCTCTGGAGCTCCTGCCTGAACCCAGCCGCCTCTCCTCCTCGTCATCTGTCTTTAAATCCCTCCTTAAAACGCACCTCTTCCGACTGCACCTGTGGCCACCTCACCCTCCCTCTCCCCGTCGCTCGGTGCCCATCCCCAACGCCGCACAGCACTCTGAGACACTATCCTGCACGAAAGGCGCTGTGTAAATGCACGTTGTTGTTGCTAATGTGTATGTCTGTGTGTGCGTGTGTGTGTGTGTGTCTGCGCGTCTGCGTGTGTCTGTGTCTATGTGCGTATATCTGTGTGCGCGCGTGTGTGTCTGTGTGTGTGTGTCTGTGTGTGTGTGTGTGTGTGTGTGGGTGTGGGGGGTGGTGTGGGGGGTGAGGAACACGGAGGGCTGAGCTGCCGAAGTGATTCATGTGCTGCATCGCCCTCCTGTGGGTAATGCCCAGAACTGCAGCGCTGCCGCCAGGAGTGTGTAAACCCACCGTCTGTGGCTGTGTGGAGCGCTGTTGCCACTAACCCTCTGACTTGCGTTTCCAGCCCAATGACCCGGTCACCAACATCTGTCAGGCCGCCGACAAACAGCTGTTCACACTGGTGGAGTGGGCAAAGCGGATCCCACACTTCTCCGAGCTGCCATTGGACGATCAAGTGATTCTCCTGCGGGCAGGTAATAGGAGCTCATCTCTGTCTCCGTCTGTTTCTGTCTGTCTCTGTCTCTGTCTCTGTGTCTGTGTCTCTCTCTGCCTCTCTGTCTGTCTGTCTCTGTCTCTGTGTCTGTGTCTCTCTCTGCCTCTCTGTCTGTCTGTCTCTCTCTGTGTCTCCATCTTTGTGTCTTTGTCTCTCTCTGTCTCTGTCTCCGTCTCTCTCTCTCTCTCTCTCTCTCTCTCTGTGTGTCTCCCTCTATCTGTCTGTCTCTCTGTGTCTGTCTCTCACTCACCCTCTGTCTCTATCTGTCTATTTCTGTCTCGTCTCTGTGTGTGTGTGTGTGTGAGTGAGTGTGTATCTCTCTCTCTGCCAGGCATTGCTCAGGACAGGTGGGGCCACACTGATCATTCTTTATGGGCAGAGTCTGAAAGGGAAGGCGCTGAGGCTGAGAAAAATGCAGTCTCAAGCGTCAGGTGTGACCTACGTCTCTAGAGGGACGAAGGGATAGAAAAGAATAAATTGGCCTGGTTCAGCTGCTGGCAATGAGATAAGACCAGGTTCCCTTCTGTGCCCTGTTGAGGGTTGGGGTTAGAGGATGTTTAACATCTCTCATATCTCGGTGGGCAATCCTCCAAATTAACCGCTCGCTCATTGGCCTCGTGTCTGTGTGCGGGTCGTTGCTGTGCACAGATTAAATACCGGGTTGGCCCGCAGATACAGTCACTACAGTTGACAACAGACGGGATCTCGATGACCCTACAGGTCTATATTGTGGGCGGTTACGAGTGACTGTCACTGGACTAATAGCTGACAACGGCTGTCGCAGGAGGCCTGAACGTGGTGTTGCCAAGGGTGGGTGGGTGGGTGGCGGGAAGGGGAGCAAGCGCAGTCTGCAGGTGTGTCACAGTCCTGTTCCACGCCTGACGGGTCCACACTGCTTCTGTCTGCAGGCTGGAACGAGCTGCTCATTGCCTCCTTCTCTCATCGTTCAATAGCTGTAAAAGACGGGATCCTGTTGGCCACCGGCCTCCACGTCCACAGGAGCAGCGCGCACAGTGCGGGGGTGGGCGCCATCTTTGACAGGTACGTCACTGCCGGGGAGGGGGGAGCGTCATTCCGGGAGGAGGGGGTGGGGGGGAGAACGTCACTCCGGGGGCGGGGGGGGGGAGAAAGGATGGCATTCGCATTTATCAGAAATAGTCCATTTGGCACCTCGTGTTTGTGCTTATTCGCCCGATCAGTACACAGTCACCGCACTTTACAGTCTATCGCATGAAGGGCTTAGTGTCAGGGACATTGACATCGCCACGGATCAGACTGACACTCACTCCATTCTGGCGCTGGGGGGAAGCCCTGCATTGTCAGAAATGCTGTCCTTCAGATGAGGGCCTGTCCGCCAGGACACCTCTCTCGTACACTCATTCCACTCGTCCTATTGTTTTTCCACTTTCTCTCTCTCGCTCTGTCTCGCGCACTCTTTTAATCTCTCTCTCTCTCTCACACACACACTCTGTTACTCTCTCCCTCTCTCCCCAGAGTTCTCACTGAGCTGGTCTCCAAAATGCGGGACATGCAGATGGACAAGACTGAGCTCGGCTGCCTGCGCGCCATTGTCCTCTTCAACCCAGGTCAGCTTCAGCCTTCGCGCACGCGCGCGTGTGTATGTGTGTGTGCGTATGTACGGGGAGCTGTGGCTGTCTGTGTGTTTTGGGGCGGGTTGGTCAGGGCGGAGAAGCTGCAGGGATGTGATCTGCCTCTCTCTCTCTCTCTCTCCTGTCAGACGCCAAGGGCCTGTCGAGGCCGGGGGAGGTGGAGGGACTGCGAGAGAAGGTGTACGCGTCGCTGGAGGCTCACTGCAAACACAAGTACCCGGACCAGCCCGGCAGGTTAGTGTGTGCGCGAGTGAGTGTGCGTGCGCGTCAATGTGCGTGTGCGCGAGCCGCTCGCTGCGGACGCGCTTCTGCTTGACTCCTGTGAGAGGCCGGGTGTAGTGACTGTGTGCCCTCGCTGACAGGTTTGCTAAGCTCCTGCTGAGGCTGCCCGCTCTGCGCTCCATCGGCCTGAAGTGCCTCGAGCACCTGTTCTTCTTCAAGCTGATTGGCGACACCCCCATTGACACCTTCCTGATGGAGATGCTGGAGGCCCCGCATCAGATGACCTAACGGGGCCGAGCGAGGGGCCCGGGGCCCAGAGACAGACGTTCACCCCCAACCCCCCCCCCCACCCCTCCCGGAGCTTCTCCCCGCAGGCTCCCACTTCATTGGAGAGGCAGCCCTCAGTTAGCACAGTCACTCTCACACACACACACACTCACACACACACACACACAGACGCCCTCCTCGCCTTGCACCAGGGGGCGCCATCGAGCCAATGACAGCCAGGACCGGGAGGGGGAGTGTGGGGGATGGGGGGGGGTCGGCGAGATTGAGGGGCCGGAGGAGGAGCAGGAGTTGGGGGTGGGTAGAGGAGAGGGGGTTGAGAGGGCGTTCCCTCTCTGGTCTGGTCGGGCTGACACCCGGAGCAGCTCGGGATTTCTCGGCCGAGGACGTCAGGAGTGAGTTCAGGTCAGAGATCCGTCTGTTCCCCTCGCAGAGCCTGAATGTTTTACGTGCACCGTCCCCACCTGCGTTTGTCCTCCATCCCCGGGGCAGTTTGTTCACATTGAGGCACGTAACATCACTCTCGCGCTCTCGCACGCACTCCTGTCTCTCACGCACTCACTCGCTCTCCCTCTCACGCACTCACTCGCGCTCTCCCTCTCACGCACTCACTCGCGCTCTCCCTCTCACGCACTCACTCGCGCTCTCCCTCTCACGCACTCGCTCGCGCTCTCTCTCATGCACTCGCTCGCGCTCTCTCTCACGCACTCGCTCGCGCTCTCTCACGCGCACACACTCTCGCACACTGTCACGCACTCACTTGCGCTCTCTCACGCACTCGCTCGCGCTCTCTCTCATGCACTCGCTTGCGCTCTCTCTCACGCACTCACTCGCGCTCTCTCTCACGCACTCACTCGCGCTCTCTCTCACGCACTCACTCGCGCTCTCTCACGCACTCGCTCGCGCTCTCTCTCACGCACTCACTCGCGCTCTCTCTCACGCACTCACTCGCGCTCTCGTGCGCTCTCTCACGCGCACACACTCTCGCGCTCTCTCACGCACTCACTCGCGCTCCCTCATGCGCACACTCTCGCGCTCTCTCACGCACTCACTCGCGCTCTCTCACGCACTCACTCGCGCTCTCGCGCACTCACTCGCGCTTTCTCACGCGCCCGCACTCGCGCTCTCTCGCGCACGCGCTTGCTCTCATGCACTCGCTCTCTCACGCTCTCTCATACTTATTCTTTATCACACACTCTCACACACTCTCGCAAACTCACACTCGCTCACACACACACACACGAGCCTGAAGCATTGTATCCAATTTTTTTGGTATTTTTTTTCTTTTAAGCCAAACCTTCAAATATAAATATTTTACGTACGCTGATTTTGTAAAAAATGAAAGTAAGAAAGAATGTTAAAGCTGTGAGCAGCCCCCCCTCCCCCCTCCACGCCCCCCCCCCCCCCTCCGCCTCCCCCCTCCCCAGTGCACAGGCTGCATAGACACACTACACCCACTGACAGACAGTCTGCTGTCCTCATTCCCCGCACTGGGACATTACAGGCATCGGACACAACCCCAACGTACGTGTCGGGCATTGCATCGCTCCGCTGTTCACGATGAACTCCTCTATTACTCCTCTTTCTCGCTCATTCCCTCCTCCTCTTGCTGATATTTACCTCCTTCCTCTCCTGTTCTCTCCCCTCCCATTTTCCCTCTCTCTCCCTCAACTCTCGCCTCTCTCGGTCACCTGACGCCCTCTCTGTCACTCTCACTCGCTCTGTCACTCATCCTTTCTTTCTGAAACTCTGTCCCCCTTCTCGCGCTCCCTCTCTATTTATCTCCCTCCCTTCTCTCTCTCCTGTTTTTCTCCCCGTTCTCTCTTTCCCCCCCTTTCTCTCCCACCCCCTCTCTTCCCCCCCCTCTCTTTCCCCCCTTCTCCCCCCCCCTCACCACCCCCCTCCACAGTGAGCTCTGTATCTCCTCCGCTCTGTGCCGATTGATGCCTTTGTGACGAGCGACAGCAGAGAAAAACAAAAGAAAAAAAAAGTGTCTAAAACAGAAATCTATTTTTGTACAAATGTAATTTTATCCTTTGACCTGTTCTCAGATGAAGATTTTTCGATCATTGTAAAAAAAAAAAACATTTTCTCTGTAAAAATGGTGAAACGTAAACAAGAAGATAGGAAAGTTTACTGACCAGCACCACTCAACGCTGTGCCTGGGGACAGTGGCAACGACACTGCGGTCTCCTCACAACCAGACACCAGAGACGATTGAGATTTTTTTTGGGGGTAAAATTGGGAACGAAAAATCCGTTCCAAAGTCCAGCATTGAACACGTGGCCCGAAATGGCGGATTACCATCCGCAGAGGGTCCTGGAGCTCAGCGTCAGTCGTTGCCTCTGCTCCACGGCTCCTGTTGGGATTCTCCAGTGCTGGTCTTGATGCTGTGCGTCCCAGAGCCCCGAATGCCTAACCCTAACCCTGAGGAGACACAGATTGTTGGAAAATTCACAGTCCAGTTTTTATTTTGTGGACGATTGAGTTCAATTAATTATTGCGTTCGACTCCGCGCCTTTCAACATTGAACCATCTCAAAGCGCTTCTTCACAGGCAATTGTAACGTGTAGTGACTATTTTGTGGGTGAGCCTGGCAGCTGATTTCCCAATGAAGCGAATGACCGATTTTTATCTGGGGGATTGTTGGCCAGGGACAACGGAAGGGGGAGAGAAATCCCCTTCGCTTTTGAAATAGTGTCGTAGGAGATCTTTTAAACGTCTGCCCGAAAAGGCAGAGAGAGTCTCACTTTAATGTCTCATCTGAAGCACGGCAACTCTGATAATGTAATACTCCCACCAGCACTGCGCTGGGGCCTCAGCCTGGAGGGTGAGCTCAATAACTGCAATAGAACTGTGGAAAAAAAACAGGTTCCTAATTAAAGCTTGCTGAATTTTCAATGGTAAGATTAGACACTGTCACGGGCTGAGAGTTTTGAGTTGAATTTCTGGGGCTCAGGTCAGTTTCACAGTTAGGTTCTGGTGTAAGAGACATTCTGTGTCTTGTTTCAAGGGTGAAGAACATGGGGAATCCCAATTCTTCTCTTCTCTCCCCCCCCCCCACCACCCCACACACACCCAATCGCACAGCGCAGGCTGGCACCCCCACACAGAGCTGACGGAACAGTCGCTGATCTGTAACTCGTTTTATTTTGACCCGACAAATCTGTTTCTCAGAGTTGATGTAATAAAATGTGACCTGTATCATCAGTGTAACGTGTCCGTCAAATCCTGCAACGCCCGACTCGCATTCACACAGCGCTTTCCACATAGAAACAGGAGGAGGCCATTCAGCCCCTCGTGCCTGTTCCAACATTCTATAAGATTATGGCTGATCTGTACCTCAAGTCCAATTATTCGCTCTTGCCCCATATATAATGTATATATATATCATAGAGACCCTCTCAATGCACTTCACAGCTCAAACCTGGGGTTGGGGTAATAATAATCCTTGCATTTGATTCATTGCTTATATTAAAATGTCTTAAAGCACTTCACGAGATTTTAATTGGAGATGTAACAGCTATTTTGTGGGCAAACAAGGCTGTTAATTTGCACACAGCAACGGCCCACAAATAGCTAAGAAGTGAACGTCCAATTTTATTGGGGGGGATTGTCGGACACCGGGAGAGAGAAATCTCTTTTCCAATTGTGCCACAAGACTTTTAACGTCCACTGACCAGGCGTAGGCAGGACCTCGGTTTAACATCTCATCTGAAGGACGGCACCATTGACAACGCAGAGCTCCCTTAGCACTTGTGTGAGGGGTGTGTCAGTGTCACAGTACGGTACAGAATGTCATTTGTATCGAGCCTTTCACGTCGGGAGGACGTCCCAGGGCGTTGGCCGGTCAGGGATTTGGACTCGTTTGGGGAGAGGGGTATGGGGTGCGTCGGGGTTACTTTGACTGAGATCTCGGGCCCATTCTGGAGATGGAATGTGTGGGCTGGAGTCCCGAGAGAGCGTGGGGTTTGAAGCGGTCAAAGATCATGGATTTTTCTTCTGCGTTGCTGTGTTTGATCTCCGCTCTGTGCTGAGTGGTTGATCTCGGCCCTGACTGCCATCAGCTAACCACCTCCAAAAACAACTCGCCCTCCACGCACGGGCCAGTGGCTCGACAGCGTCGACAGCGTAGGCAGGGAACGTGAGAATTACGGTGAAGGGAACGGACACGACGAGGTTAACGCTGGAATGTTTTGCCGCCGGGGTGCATTAATGTCGTACTCTTGTCATCTGCTCTTCGCTTAAACGCGGCCAAACCGAGCTGATTAGCACCAGGTGTCCCGGCAACATCGCTGCCAAATCCCCGCAGCCAGGCACGTCCTGATGGTGACCACCAGGTGGCGGCCACGGCACACCCAAGTCCTCGACCTGCCCCGGCCACTTGCTGACTGGGCCAGCGACTGGCCGGAAAGCGTGGACGGGGCAGTGCAGAGGGAGCTTCGCTCTCGTCTCTAACCCGCGCTGTCACGAGTTCAAGTTCCTCGCGCTCTGCCCGAGGGGCGCGCTTGTCAACGCAAGTTGTCGTTGCTGTTATTGGCACCGACCAGGGAGCGCAGCCGGGCGGCGTCGTTTATCCTGCGTTCTAACCCGTGCTGTGAAGTGGACTGAGACTATTCGGTAATAATGACATGTCCATGGTTTCACGCAGTCTTCAATTGCGAGCAGAGATGGGCCGCTGGGCTGGGCCGCTGGGCTGGGCCGCTGGGCTGGGCCGGGACTCCCACGTCTGATGCGCTGGGAGACCAAAGCTCTTGAGACCATGTCAGCAATGTTTTCTGGTCACCGGGTGTCTGACACGCCAGCAAACCTTGTCACCGTGCTCATAAACCTCCAAACCAGACAGTGAATTCCACATAGCAATATCACTTATCCATGAAAATTTCCTTCTGTCCGGAATGGAATGCGCACTCTCTCCCCGGAGGGACTTCCCTAATTCCAGAGAGGATCAACTCCAGCCTTAACTGCCTGGAGTTGAACCAACCAAAAGAGCATAGCTTGCCTATTGATATCACTGTCTGGCCAGCTTTCCCGCTGCTGGTCCAGTCTAGACCACCCTACTCGTTAGGGCTTTGGCTGGCAGAATTAACAGGAGTTGAGTGGGATGACTCCCTGACCCCAGTGACTGGTCTGCCCTTCCGGGTCTTGTTGATGGGCCGGGCCGGGCCGGGCTGTAATCAGCAGTGAGTGCCCTGGAATACTGAGGACACACCTGGCCCAGGAACCGGACGAGAGGCTGAAAGGATCGGTGGAAACAGACTCAAGAACAACTTTCAAAAGGGAATTGGAGAGGTAATTGAAGAGGAAAAATTTGCAAAGATGTGGGGAAAGACTGGGGGAGGGGTAGCTCTTCCGAAAAGCAAGATGGGCCGAATGGCCTCCTTCTTTGCTGTAATACTGTATGATTCCAGGAGACCGTCGCGGAAGGTTGGCTCAATTCTGACGTTGTTTTGACAGTGTGCGCCACAGTAACAGTGTGTGACAGTAACAGAGAGTCTGATCGTAATAGTGTGTCCGACAACGACAGAATGTGCCAGTAACAGAGTGCGCGACAGTAATAGAACGTGA